GGGGGTTACGGGGGCAACGGAAGCGCCTCTGGTGGCGGGGGCGCTGGTGACCAAGATGGTAGATTGGCCAGGGGTAACGGGTTGCACGAAGGGCTGGAATTTGGCAGCCCCGCAGCCCCGGCGCGCGCTAACTTACGGGCGGCAAAAGTCGCACGGTGTGACGGAGGAAGTCACGGGGGCGACGGCCACCCGAGTTGGGGGTGGCGACGGGACCGTCACAACGGGGCGGATTGGCGCAAGCGTTATCGGGTCCATTGTCGGCGTGAGAACTCTTAACGGTTCGTCCAAACACATGGGTGCGGAGCTCAAGTAAAAATATGGTAAGCGTTACATACCCGAAAAGCGTGAGCTCACAGAGAATGCGCAGGACGGGCGGGCAAGCGGGCGAGATCGTGCAACTACAAACATCGGTTGGGATCTGCACGCGACACGAGGCGAGATCGCCAAAACACGCGTGGACGGGCGATGCGATGAAAAAAGGCAAGCGACAAAAGGAACTGAAGCAACTAAGAATAAATTTCCACGCATCAAAACATCGGGATTTTACCTGGTGCTTGGCTCGGTTGCTGTCCTACCACAGGCTGGGCGGGCGTGGCATGCGCAGTGAACCAAAGATCGAGATAATGGTTAGGCATAAAGTTTTCTTACCTCAACCACACCGTTCCAAACATTGAGAAGGGGGTGAGGGGGCGAAAAAGGCTCATGGTCTACATAAGAGCAACCTTTCCTCCCTGCTTGATTGTGAGGAAGCCGAGGGGTAAGAAAAGGGATTTCCAGTGGGTGATTCCATGTCACAGGTCAAGAACGCCTCGGTCACGCCCGAGAAAACAAATCCCAAGCCACAATATCCAGAGCGTTCACACGTACAAGAACGGATGCCACAGGTTGCTGCAATGTCGTGGAGGGATCAAGAGGGACGAACACAGTGGGATCGAGGTGGAGAGGGCTTCGACATCATGTTTTCGTATGAGCATAGGGGCACCGTAGCCTGACTCAATGCCCGATATGGTTGATTTGGTACTTCTACCACGCCCCCCTGTCTAGCCCGCATAACAACAAACACACACCTCCGGAGCGGTTGGCGCCAGAACCGGAGCCGCGGGTGTCCTGGATGCCACTGGTTGCTGCAATGCCGTGGAGGGACCAAGAGGGACGAACGCCCGGGGATGGAGTTGGAGAGGGCTTCTGCATGTTTTGAGATGAGAATAGGGACACCGTAGCCTGAACCAACGCCCAATATGGTTGGATTTGGTAATTCTACCACGTCCTTTCGTCTAGCCCACATGAACATAACTACCCACCACCGGAGCGGTTGGCGCCGGAACCGGAGCAGCGGGTGTCCCGGGTGCCACTGGTTGCTGGGATGCCGTGGAGGGGTCAAGGGGGACGAACAAAGGGCGATCGAGTTGGAGAGGGCTTGGACATGTTTTTATATGAGAACAGGGGCACCGCACCCTGACCCTATTCCCGGTATGGTTGAATTAATACTTCTACCACGTCCCGCTGTCTAGCCCCCAAAAAAACAAATACCCACCTCCGAAGTGCTTGGCGCCAGAACCGGGGCAGCGGGTATCCCGGGTGCCACTGGTTGCTGCAATGCCGTGGAAGGATCAAGAGGGACGTACACAGAGAGATAGAGGTGGAGAGGGCTTGGACATGTTTTCATGTGAGAATTGGGACACCGTAGCCTGAACCAATGCCCGATATGGTTGATATAGTACATCTACCACGCCCCCCTGTCTAGGCCACAAAATTTCAAATACCCACTTCCGAAGTGGTTGGCGACAGAACCGGAGGAGTGGGTGTACCGGATGCCACTGGTTGCTGCGATGCCGTGGAGTGATCAAGAGAGACGAATACCGGAGGATGGAGTTGGAGAGGGCTTGGACATGCTTTCATATGCCAACAGCAATACCGCAGCCTGAATCAATGCCCGAGACGGATGGCTTGGTACCTCTACCGTGTCTGCCTGCCTGGCACACATACTTCCAAATACCCACCTCCGAAGCGGTTGGCGCTAGAACCGGAGCAGCGGGTATCCCGGGTGCCACTGGTTGCTGCAATGGTGTGGAGTGATCAAGAGGGACGTACACAGAGGGATCGAGTTGGAGAGGGCTTGGACATGTTTTCATGTGAGAATTGGGACACCGTAGCCTGAATCAATACCCGAGAGGCTTCGATATACTACTTGTACGACGTCCCTTTCGCTACAGCCGCCCAAAATCCACCGAATACCCACCTCCCAAGAGGTTGGCGCCAGAACCGGAGCAGCGGGTATCCCGGGTGCCACTGGTTGCTGCGATGCCGTGGAGTGATCAAGAGGGACAAATGCCGGAGCATGTAGTTGGTGAAGGCTTGGACATGTTTTCATGTGAGAATTGGGACACCGTAGCCTGAACCAATGCCCGATATGGTTGGATTTGGAACTTCTACCACGTCCGCCCGTCTAGCACACACATATAGCAACTACCCACCTCCGAAGAGGTTGGCGCCAGAACCGGAGCAGCGGGTATCCTGGGTGCCACTGGTTGCTGCAATGTCGTGGAGGGATCAAGAGGGACGAACACAGAGGGATCGAGGTGGAGAGGGCTTCGACATCATGTTTTCATGTGAGCATAGGGGCACCGTAGCCTGAATCAATGCCCGATATGGTTGATTTGGTACTTCTACCACGCCCCCCTGTCTAGCCCGCATAACAACAAACACACACCTCCGGAGCGGTTGGCGCCAGAACCGGAGCCGCGGGTGTCCTGGATGCCACTGGTTGCTGCAATGCCGTGGAGGGACCAAGAGGGACGAACGCCCGGGGATGGAGTTGGAGAGGGCTTCTGCATGTTTTGAGATGAGAATAGGGACACCGTAGCCTGAACCAATGCCCGATATGTTTCGATTTCGTACTTCCACCACGTCCCACTCTCTACAGTAGCCCTAAAATCACCGAATACCCACCACCAAAGCGGTTGGCGCCAGAACCGGAGCAGCGGGTGTCCCGGGTGCCACTGGTTGCTGGGATGCCGTGGACGAATCAAGAGGACCGAACACACGGGGGTCGAGTTTATGCGGGCTTCGGCGTGTTTTCACATGAGCATAGGGACACCGTAGCCTGAATCAATGCCTGATATGCTTCGATTTGGTACTTCTACCACGTCCTCCTGTCTAGCGCACGTTAAACCAAATACTTACCTCCGGAGCGGTTGGCGCCGGAACCAGAGCAGCGGGTGGCCCGGGATCCACTGGTTGCTGCGATGCCGTGGAGTGATCAAGAGGGATAAATACAGTGGGATCGACTTGAAGAGGACTTGGACATGTTTTCGTATGAGAAAAGGGACACCGTAGCCTGAACCAACGCCCAATATGGTTGGATTTGGTAATTCTACCACGTCCTTTCGTCTAGCCCACATGAACATAACTACCCACCACCGGAGCGGTTGGCGCCGGAACCGGAGCAGCGGGTGTCCCGGGTGCCACTGGTTGCTGGGATGCCGTGGAGGGATCAAGAGGGACGAACAAAGGGCGATCGAGTTGGAGAGGGCCTGGACATGTTTTTATATGAGAACAGGGGCACCGCACCCTGACCCTATTCCCGGTATGGTTGATTTAATGCTTCTACCACGTCCCGCTGTCTAGCCCCCAATAAAACAAATACCCACCTCCGAAGTGCTTGGCGCCAGAACCGGGGCAGCGGGTATCCCGGGTGCCACTGGTTGCTGCAATGCCGTGGAAGGATCAAGAGGGACGTACACAGAGAGATAGAGGTGAAGAGGGCTTGGAAATGTTTTCATGTGAGAATTGGGACACCGTAGCCTGAACCAATGCCCGATATGGTTGATATAGTACTTCTACCACGCCCCCCTGTCTAGGCCACAAATTTTTCAAATACCCACTTCCGAAGTGGTTGGCGCCAGAACCGGAGGAGTGGGTGTACCGGATGCTACAGGTTGCTGCGATGCCGTGGAGTGTTCAAGAGAGACGAATACCGGAGGATGGAGTTGGAGAGGGCTTGGACATGCTTTCATATGCCAACAGCAATACCGCAGCCTGAATCAATGCCCGAGACGGATGGCTTGGTACCTCTACCGTGTCTGCCTGCCTGGCACACATGCTTCCAAATACCCACCTCCGAAGCGGTTGGCGCTAGAACCGGAGCAGCGGGTATCCCGGGTGCCACTGGTTGCTGGGATGCCGTTGAGGGACCAAGAGGGACGAACATAGAGGGATCGAGTTGGAGAGGGCCTGGACATGTTTTCATATGAGAACAGGGACACCGTAGCCTGAATCAATACCCGAGAGGCTTCGATATACTACTTGTACGACGTCCCTTTCGCTACAGCCGCCCAAAATCCACCGAATACCCACCTCCGAAGAGGTTGGCGCCAGAACCGGAGCAGCGGGTATCCCGGGTGCCACTGGTTGCTGCGATGCCGTGGATGGATCAAGAGGGACGAACACAGAAGGATCGAGGTCGAGAGGGCTTGGACTTGTTTTCATATGAGAACAGGGACACCGTAGCCTGAATCAATACCCGAGAGGCTTCGATATACTACTTGTACGACGTCCCTTTCGCTACAGCCGCCCAAAATCCACCGAATACCCACCTCCGAAGTGCTTGGCGCCAGAACCGGAGCAGCGGGTGTCCCGGGTGCCACTGGTTGCTGCGATGCCGTGGAGTGATCAAGAGGGACAAATGCCGGAGCATGTAGTTGGTGAAGGCTTGGACATGCTTTCATGTGAGAATTGGGACACCGTAGCCTGAACCAATGCCCGATATGGTTGGATTTGGAACTTCTACCACGTCCGCCCGTCTAGCACACACGAATAACAACTACCCACCTCCGAAGTGCTTGGCGCCAGAACCGGAGCAGCGGGTATCCCGGGTGCCACTGGTTGCTGCAATGCCGTTGAGGGACCAAGAGGGACGAACATAGAGGGATCGAGTTGGTGGGCTTGGACATGTTTTCATGTGAGAATAGGGACACCGTAGCCTGAATCAATGCCCGATATGGTTGATTTGGTACTTCTACCACGCCCCCCTGTCTAGCCCGCATAACACCAAACACACACCTCCGGAGCGGTTGGCGCCAGAACCGGAGCCGCGGGTGTCCTGGATGCCACTGGTTGCTGCAATGCCGTGGAGGGATCAAGAGGGACGAACGCCCGGGGATGGAGTTGGAGAGGGCTTCTGCATGTTTTGAGATGAGAATAGGGACACCGTAGCCTGAACCAATGCCCGATATGTTTCGATTTCGTACTTCCACCACGTCCCACTCTCTACAGTAGCCCTAAAATCACCGAATACCCACCACCAAAGCGGTTGGCGCCAGAACCGGAGCAGCGGGTGTCCCGGGTGCCACTGGTTGCTGCGATGCCGTTGAGGGACCAAGAGGGACGAACATAGAGGGATCGAGTTGGAGAGGGCCTGGACATGTTTTTATATGAGAACAGGGGCACCGCACCCTGACCCTATTCCCGGTATGGTTGATTTAATACTTCTACCACGTCCCGCTGTCTAGCCCCCAATAAAACAAATACCCACCTCCGAAGTGCTTGGCGCCAGAACCGGGGCAGCGGGTATCCCGGGTGCCACTGGTTGCTGCAATGCCGTGGAAGGATCAAGAGGGACGTACACAGAGAGATAGAGGTGGAGAGGGCTTGGACATGTTTTCATGTGAGAATTGGGACACCGTAGCCTGAATCAATGCCCGATATGTTTCGATTTCGTACTTCCACCACGTCCCACTCTCTACAGTAGCCCTAAAATCGCCGAATACCCACCTCCGAAGAGGTTGGCGCCAGAACCGGAGCAGCGGGTATCCCGGGTGCCACTGGTTGCTGCGATGCCGTTGATGGACCAAGAGGGACGAACATAGAGGGATCGAGTTGGTGAGGGCTTGGACATGTTTTCATGTGAGAATAGGGACACCGTAGCCTGAATCAATGCCCGATATGGTTGATTTGGTACTTCTACCACGCCCCCCTGTCTAGCCCGCATAACACCAAACACACACCTCCGGAGCGGTTGGCGCCAGAACCGGAGCCGCGGGTGTCCTGGATGCCACTGGTTGCTGCAATGCCGTGGAGGGATCAAGAGGGACGAACGCCCGGGGATGGAGTTGGAGAGGGCTTCTGCATGTTTTGATATGAGAATAGGGACCCCGTAGCCTGAACCAATGCCCGATATGTTTCGATTT